TCTGCCAATGTGGTACACTGCATCCGCTGCACCCGGTGTGGCTTCCTGTACATCGGGGAAACCAAGCGGAGACTCGGGGACCGCTTTGCAGAACACCTACGCTCGGTTCGCAATAAACAACTGCACCTCCCAGTCGCGAACCATTTCAACTCCCCCTCCCATTCCTCAGACGACATGTCCATCCTGGGCCTCCTGCAGTGCCACAACGATGCCACCCGAAGGTTGCAGGAACAGCAACTCATATTCCGCTTGGGAACCCTGCAGCCCAATGGTATCAATGTGGATTTCACAAGTTTCAAAATCTCCCCTCCCCCTACCGCATCCCAAAACCAGTCCAGCTCGTCCCTGCCTCCCTAACCTGTTCTTCCTCCCACCTATCCCCTCCTCCCACCTCAAGCCGCACCTCCATCTCCTACCGACCAACCTCATCCCGCTCCCTTGACCTGTCCGTCCTCCCTGGACTGACCTATCCCCTTCCTAACTCCCTACCTACACTCACCTTTACTGGCCCCATCCCCGCCTCTTCGACCTGTTTGTTTCCTCTCCTCTATCCCTCTTCTATCCGCCTCCCACTCTCTCCCTATTTATTTCAGAATCCCCTTCCCCTCCCCCTTTTCTGATGAAGGGTCTAGGCCCGAAACGTCAGCCTTCCTGCTCCTATGATGCTGCTTGGCCTGCTGTGTTCATCCAGCCCTGCACCTTGTTGTCTCGGATTCTCCAGCATCTGCAGTTCCTACTATCCCCGAGAATGATACAGTGACCAAGATAGCGCTGGGTCCATCACCAGGACAACAAACTGGCCAGGACAGGGCACCGCCTCCTTCCCATAAAAGTACCATCAGCTACTGCAGCCCCCAGTCCCTTCCCCAAATCCCAGTCACTCACCTCCGCCTCAAACCAACCGCAAACACCACATCAACCTTCCACTCCACGTGTCTACTTCCGGGTCAGGCCCAAACGAATGCTTCCGCCAGTACCGAAGATGGCCGCTGCCAATTATGGGCTCGGCTGGCCATATCTGTTACAGGCAAAACCTAAGGGCCACAGACAGAGAGAGAGAGAGAGAGACACACATAGAGTAAATTGTTCGATAGTTTCTCGCTACTTACCAGCAAAATTAACAAAGTGTTTTGTGAACTTCTATCCAGGGGCTGCCGCATTCCCTATCGCACTGTAGTCATATTGCAGAGTAACAATGCTTCAGTTTATCTCCGCTAACCAGATTTTCAAAAGACAAAGCCGGGGCAGACAGAAAGACTTGGGAAGGCGGGGCATTGGTGATGATTGACATTTCTGGAAAACAATGACAGGAGTCTGGGACAGGACAGTGGAAGGTGGAGTTGGTCTAAATTGATGGGAACACTAGGCAGGAACATAGCTACCAAGTGGTGCTGTCACTTCTCCTGTCACACTGTCCAGGCAGTGGTTGTGGATGGACCTCAGCAAACAGTCAATAAGGGGAAAGGGAAGAACAACACCTCATTTTCCACTTGGGGACCCTGCAGCCTTCTGGATTCAATAATTTTAGGGACTGAACTCTCCAATGTCCTCGCCCCCTACCCCACACACCAGGCCTAGTTATCACATAGCTTGCCAATACACACTACTTATTGTTAATCACTAACAGTCTCCATTAACAGCTATTAACCTTCCTAGCCAGATCATGTCCAATTCTTTTGTCTGTCCAACTGTTCTTCTTTCTCAAAAACTGAAAGAACTGCGGATGCTATAAATCAGGAACAAAAACAGATTTGCTGAGCTTTTCCAGCAACTTCTGTTTTTGTTCCTTCTTTCTTTCCCTTGTCCAGTCACTTCTCAGTTACATCCACAATTCCTCTGTTGCTTTATGTCAGTTTCAGAATTTCCCATTTGCGGGCTGCAGCCACCTCGTCTTTACCATGGATGTGCAATCCCTTTATGCATCAATCAGGATGGTCGCAGGGCTCTCTGCTTCTTCCTGATGCAAAGGCCTGAACCCTCTCCAACCACCACCAACCTCCTTCGCCTACCCAAGCTTGTCCTCACCCTAAAAAACTTCTCTTTTAACTCCTCTCACTTTCTTCAGGGCAGAATGGTGGGCATGGGTCACCACAGGAGCCCCAATTATCCCTGTCTCTTTGTGGGTCACATGGAGAATTCCTTGTTTCAGCCCTATTCTGGCCCCCACCCACAACACTTTCTCTGGTATAGCAATGATATCATTGGTGCAGCTTCCCTCTCTTGTCCAGAATTGGAAAAGTTTCAGTTTTGCCTCCAATTTCCACCCCACTCTCAACTTCACTTGGTTCATTCCTGACTCCTCCCTTCATTTACTTGACATCTCCATTTCCATTTCCAGGGATAGGCTGGTCACTAATATTCGCTACACAAACCCACTGATTCCCACAGTTACCTTGGCTATATATCCTCTTGTCCTGCTTCCTGTAAAGACTCTATTCCATTCTCTCAGTTCCTTCATCTTTGTCACATCTGTTCCGATGATGCCAACTTCGACAAGGGATCCTTTGAAATGCCCACCACCTTCATCAACCCAGGATTCCCCAGCACTATAGTTGACAAAGCCTGCATGCCCTCTCTTTCCTCCCACAATAGCGATAGGTCCCCCCCTTGTTCTCACCTACCAACCCACCAGCATTCACAACCAGAAGATCATTAGCTGCCACTTCCAGTCAAATGCCACCACCAGATACATATTTCCCTCCCCTCCCTTGTCAGCCTTCCACAAGGACTGTTCCCTCCGCGACACCCTGGACAACTCTTCGTTCACTCTCAACAACTCCCACACCCAGCTCCATAGCACCTTCATGTGCACTTCACTCAATCTAGTCTACTGTATTCGCTGCTCACAATGTGATTCCCTCTAGATTTGGAGCAACAAAGCATAGACTCGGTGATGCTTCGTCACTATTCTGTCCTCAACAAAGACGCTGAGCTCTCAGTTGCCTGCCACTTCAATACACCACTGTGTTCCGTGGCCAACATCTGTCTCCAGCTTGCTGCAGTGCACTGCTTCACCTGGAAGATGTTTTTGGGCTCTTGGATACTGGGGACGGAGGAAGTAACACGCAGGTGTTACATCTTCTGTGGTTGCAGGGGAAGGTGCCATGGGGATGTGGGAGGTTGTTGGGAGTGAAGGCAGAGTGGACTAGGATGTCTTGGAGAGAATGGTCCCTGCAGAAGTCAGACAAGGGAGGGGAGGGGAATGTGTGTCCAGTGGTGGCATCTTGCTGGAGGTGGCAGAAGTAGCAGCTCATGATCCTCTGGATGTGGATGCTGGTGGGATGGTAGATAAGGACAAGGGGAACCCTATCGCTGTTGTGGGAGGAAAGAGAGGAGTGAGGCCGAAGTGCAGGAGATAGGTTGGACCTGAGGGCCTTGTCAACAACAGTGCTGGAGAATCCACAGTTGATGAAGAAAGTGGACATTTTGAGGGCTCCCTTTTCGAAGTTGGCATCATTGGAACAGATGCACTGGAGATGGAAGAACTGGGAGAATGGAATAGAGACTTTACAGGAAGCAGGATGTGAGGATATATAGTCAAGGCAACTGTGGGAGTCAGTGGGTTTACAGTGGATATTTGTGGCCAGCCTAACCCCAGATATGGAAACAGATGTCAAAGGAAGGAAGGGAAGAGTCAGAGTGAAAGTGAGGACAGGGTGGAAATTGGAAACAAAATCAATAAATGTTTCCCCGATGATATCATTGATATATTGGAGAAAGAGTTGTGGGTGGGGGCCAGAAAAGGATTGGAAAAGGTATGTTCCACCTACCCCGCAAAGAGACATGCACAACTGGGGCCTATGCAGGTACCCATGGCCTCCCCTTTGACTTGAAGAAAATGAGAGTTGTTGTTTAGGGTGAAAATATTATGTTATCTAATAGCAGACTATTACACACAACCCATTGTTAGCCACTAACAGGCCCCATTAATAGCTATTCATTTTCCTAACTTGATTATTATTCACTCCTTTGTCTGTTCATTTCTCTCTTTTTGGGCTCTATCACCACCAATAATTGACTTCTTCACCCCTCCCCTACTCTATGTTCTGCATAAAAAACATTTTCCTGGCTACCATCAGTTCTGAGGAAGGGTTACCAGACCCGAAACGTTAAGTCTAATTTTTCTCCACAGATACTGCCAGACTTGCTAAGCTTTTCCAACAATTTCTGTTTGTGTCACTTTTTTTCATTTGACTCAATATCCGGTTTACCAAAAGTTTGGATTATGGAAAGAGGCTCCCTGGACTGACCTATCCCCTCCCTAACTCCCCACCTACACTCACCTTTACTGGCGCCATCCCCGCCTCTTTGACCTGTCTGTCTCCTCTCCACCTATCTTCTCCTTTATCCATCTTCTATCCATCTTCCCCTCTCTCCCTATTTATTTCAGAATCCCCTTCCCCTCCCCCATTTCTGAAGAAGGGTCCAGACCCGAAACGTCAGCTTTCCTGCTCCTCTGATGCTGCTTGGCCTGCTGTGTTCATCCAGCTCTACACCTTGTTATCTCAGATTCTCCAGCATCTGCAGTTCCTACTATCTCTGTAGTTCTTTGTGTTTATTTTAGCAGTCAAATGCTCGTTGCTGATGTTAATTGAAACAAAAAGGACTGAACTGTGTCACTGGGGGCTGGTACTAACTGTTCAAAATTGTAGTCTGTTGAAATCCTCCTTTACTCACATACCCTCACACAACACACATAGACACATGGATATACTACTCATAAGTAATCAAAAGAGTGAGAGAATATTGTGACCAAACCTACATAATTGTTTCTCCTTGCTTCATTTTTGCTGACATTATGTCTAATTTTAGGGTGCAGTTATATTGAGAGATTATTGTATTATATTATTATATTCTCCGTGTTCAAAATCACCTTATATCCAGTGATAACACTTATGTAAATCTCAGAATTTACAGCAGATTGTACTGTTCATGTAAATTAATCTGAATTTCATCAACACAAGTGTACTTTGTTGTTGATTGGGTGGTGCAGTCCTGCCCTGCATAACACCCACTTTAAAATTTGTTGCATTTTCTGTTCCAGAACTAGCTGTTGCTCCATATCAGGGCTTTCATTCACTCACTATCTGTTGTCTGGTGACTCCAGCATGCTGCAGGGAGATGCTAAGAATTTCCTTTTGAGTAGTGGCCTCCTGTTCTCTGCTAGCTGGGCCTTGTTCATGGTGCCAGTGTGTGTGTGTGTGTGTGTCTGCCTGTCTGCAGCTGGCAGTAGCTCCCAGTCATGAGCCATCACCCAACAGTTTTAAATTGCCTCGGTTCCAGTGCACCAATCAGGTCACATACCTGTGATTGGACAAAGCTTCTTCACGTTACCAGCCAGCCAAAGACTTTTGCTGCAGATCTGCTGATCAATCGATTTCCAGGAATTTAAAAGGAATCTACACTTAAAAAATATTGGACCATAAGATCATAAGCTATTGGAACAGAATGAGGCCACTCAGCCCATGGGGTCTGCTCCACCTTTTGATCATGACTGATGTAGCTGATATTATGTTTAACTTTCCCAGCCATGCCATTAATGTATGAGAAATCAAACATGAGGGAAAGGTTAAAGGCAGGGTCCTTGGTGGTACAGGAAAACCAAACATTTGAGTAATCTGTGAAGAAACTGTTAGGACCCCAGGATGCTGAGAGTCGAACATGGATGGTATGTACAATACCAGGTTGTCCAGTCATCCTAGCAATGTAGCATTTTATCATTCCACTAGCTTCATGAGGAATAGAAAGAAAAGTATTCATGAAGCTCCAGCATTTTGAGTCTAAAGTACAGTTATTTCTAACTTTTAGGAACCTGGAAACATAACATAGTGGTGACGGGATGCCTGTGAGAAAAAAAAATCTTAAATTTCATCCTGAATTAGACTGAAAAATCAACTGAGACTAGTTATAAAGAGAGTGAAAATCTGAATGAATCATGCAGAATCAGAATGGTCACCACAGCAATAAACGCAAAGTTCCAGCCTGTGATAAATTAGGAGACTGTTAATGTTTTAAGACATTTCAGAAGTTGAAACAAAAATGCAGACTTCCATTCAATATGCAAATGAAGAGATTGGTGTCAGTTACATCATTTTGTGGGCAGGAGAGAAAGGGTGCAATTTGGTTATTAGAGGGGAGCTGAGTGACCGTAGATCATAGAATCCCTACAGTGTGAAAATAGGCCCTTCAGCCCAACAAGTCCACACAGACCCTCGGACATCCCACACAGACCCATCCCCCTACAACC